CCATAGCAAATATTCCCTTATTTTATTGAGTAAACAAAGAGTTCTGAATTAGTACATATCTGCAAATTTATAAACGGCAATTTCAACGGGAAACAAACTTTCAAGAACCACAAACCAGGCAACGTCAATGTGTCTTTAAAGAATGAACGAGTTCAGCTTTACAGGGAAATGCCACCCCCTTTTCTCCTCATTCCTGGGGACATAGATACGTTCATGCAAAAGACAGCATCCAGGGTCACGGCGGGCAGGGCGCTGCGTGGAGAGACAGTCCCACAGCGGCCCCCGCGCCCCGGCCAGCTGTGACAAGCTCTGTCACTTCAGGACAGGGGCCGGGGCGCAATCCCACGAGTGAATCCGTGGCCTTGAGAACAGACACTGAAATGCCCAACTTTAAGTGCCTGAGAGAACGTTAACATTTTCACCTACGAAGTAATTGTTCCAAGAATGGATTTCTTTCTGGTGCTCCCTGAACCAGGAGGGAGCAGCACACCCTGAAGACGCGCAACTGGCATCCCTTGTCACACACACGTAGGGTCGTGGCCCGTGTGCGCCACAGGACCGGAAGCACAGCACGCCTGGTGCTCAGCCACCCCTCCAGAGCAGCAGGTGAGAAGATGCCTGCGGTGAAAACCACACCCACAGCACCAGAGCAATTAAAGGACTTTGCAAAGTGACGACCTTGGGGATGATCAAAGTTCTCCACGTTAAACTTCTTCGTGCGGTTTTCATTGCCCATCCCTCCATCATTACTACCATTTTAAAAACGCGTGTTAACTGGAAAAAGGAGTCCTGCTCTGACCCCGCCCTGAGAGAGCTCCTGTGTGATGTGAAAAGGCACACACGGGACGCGCCGCTTCCTGCTTTAGTGCCGTCAACCTGCCTAACGTGAGGCTGTGCTGTCGTTAGACCCTGGAAACGGAAAGACAATCATAGACTTGATAGCTAGTAAACATAAACAGTCCACGTAAGTGGAGTGCGTCACTCCAGGGGACTTGGCGGGGACGGCGGGCACCGCCTCTGGGCTGCGGTGACAGTGCCGGGCTCCCCCGTGGGCGGAGCAAAGCGCACCACGGTGCGCTCTCAGCGGCCGGCGCCGGCGTGAGAAGGGCTGCTCCCAAGCCTGTGGGTCCCACGCCAATCTGCACGTTCATCCTGTAATCCGGGTCTACGGGGCCACCCTTCCAAGGTGGTGCCACCGCATAACGTGTTTTTCAAATAAAAGGCAATCACAACGAACAGCCTTCAGCAAACCCAGCAAAGGCCGGCTGCTGGCCTCACTCAGAACCATGCTGGATATTTTAATGTTTCCTGTAAGCCAGCTCTTACTAGACAGAACACGACAGTGCCACTGCCTGGGCTACAAGCAGAAAGACCGGACCTGTAGGATCTATCTTTCAGGCTCACTTTCCCGGTTGCCGAAGGGTCCCCTCCGGGAGGGGGCTCCTCCCACTCGAGTGAAGGGGAAGAAGGGCTGTGGGCAGAGTCCAAAGAAGCCACAACTGATATTAAAGAAATGGTTTCAATATAAAAGAAAGCTGTAAAATTAAACATATTGTGAACACTCTGGAAAAGGAAAGTTGTTCAAAATTTCTCCAAATCTGACCAAAAAGCTAACCCTGAATCTGAAAATAACACCTTCACCAGCAGTGTCCACAGAGCGTCTGGGATGCTGGGCTCGTTCTAGAGCCGCGCTGCCCATGCATGGAACAGGGAGGGGGTCAGGGGTCGGGGTCAGCAGTCAATGCAGCTCAGGTCCAGCCTCCAGGGCTGCAGGGCCTGAGGGGCAGACCGACGACAGCCCAGGCCGCTCGGCTTCCCTGCAAGTCATCAGCACAAATGGGAAAGAGGAAGAGGAGACAGACGGGCTATCTCGACCTTGAGCAGCACGCGGACCGGGTCTGGATCCCGATTTGAGCAAACCAGACGTCGGCCAGCACTTCGTCCACCTTGTGGGGTGACGTCTGCGTGGGGCCAGTGAGGAGGCACCTTACGTTCCAGAGACACATGAGCGCTGAGGAAGGTCGTCAGCGCGTCAGGCCCACTTTATAGGAGGGGGGCAACACCCGGGGGGACATGGCAGGGGGGACACAGGACGGCCCTGCCCAACAGGCTTGGGCTTCACTCCTGATACGCCTCTTTCCGCTTCTGCATATCCTGAAAGCTGTCTAAACAAAAGTTAGAAAATTATCCCCAGAAAAAGAAGTTTCTTTGAAAAAACAAGATAAAACCTTTAACAGGAAGGTCCAGTAAAAGACGTCTGAGAACAGGACTTACTCAGATTCTTCGACATGTGACGACGACCACACACCCCCCTCCCCACACCCCGCCCCGCATCCTGTAGCCCCGGCTGCTCTGCTGGCTCAGACTTTCTGCCCAGACACAAGGACGGGCTGCTTTAAAGACAAAAGGACACTCTGTTAGTTCGGAGCGTCGGCGGGCACAGTCAGGAGACAACAGCCGACCAAGGACAGAGGCAGCCGTCGTGTCAACTAAGATTCAGGAAAAGCGTTGGATGGACAGCATCTGTATCAGCTCCTTGCCAGACACACCCACGGTGCGTCTTTTCAGTGACACAAAGTGTCCCAGACGTGCCATCCTCACCAGTGACGTCGGTCACGGTCACACAGTCTCTCCACAGACGCCGGCCAGTCAGCACCAATGCAGACGGACCCATGGCCTGGGAGGTGCGGGGGCGACGGGTGTGAACGTCCCGGGACCAGAGCCACGAGGGACCCGGCGCGGCGGTAAGGCAGCTGCGAGGATGGAAAGTACCGACCCATTAGGCTGAAGCCCCTGCTGGTACCCGACTGACACCATCGACACCATCGACAGACGGCGACCGAGCCTGCCGGGAAGCCCCGGCATCTCCACGCGGCCGCCGGGAACGGGGTCCGCACACACGGCGAGAATGGGACTTTCAGAAAGAAAACTAACCTTTAAACACGGTGCTGCTCCACCAGGTGAGACCGGGAAGGAAGCACAAGACCCAGTCCATGGACTCGGTGACAAATCCAGCCCTCGAGGGGCCCGGCCATGCAGCCTGTGCTGAGCGCTGGCCCCACGTCCGCGGGGTGTGGAGCGCAGTGCCCCCAGGGCCACAGCCATCTTGGCCTGTCCACACACATGACCTTGCCCAAGGCCTCTGGGCGGATGCGTGCGGATGGGGTCTATCAGAATCAGCCCGCAGCTGTGTTGGGTGCACACCTGACCGGAGGAGACACCACTGCTACAAAAGGCCAAGTCCCCAGCAGCTTGGGGAGGCCCCGGGTGCCCAGTCCCCACAGGGAACAAGCCCCCGTCGGCCCCAAGGAAACGGCTGGCCGGCTCGAGCCAACGCCATGCCCCTTGGGCCGGTTGGTGTGTCTGGTTCTGCCTTCCCTGCAACCGAGTGCATGGCGTCCCCCAAGGAAGGTGGAAAGGACACAGTCCCGCTTACCCCGCAGGTTAAACCAACACCTCTCCAAGCACGGTCCCTGGATCCTAAGTCATGGACGCAACCAAGCCTCGGGCACTGAGCCGCCCTGGGCAGTCCCAGACCACAGCACAAGGAGACCACAGCACAAGGAGGCCGCAGCCCCCGCTGCCCTCCCCAGGAATTGGGTCCTGTGGGGCCTGCTCAAGACTTCGTGCAGTCAAATCAAACAAAACCTCCATCATAATTAATCATGGGCTGCACACCTCGCCTTAAAAAGCAGCAACAGGCATGAGGCATGCATCCCACTGAAGGTCAACATGAGTCAGAACCGTGTAACACTCAAAACACAGAGCACCACTTTTGCTGTATCGAAGCAAACGCCAGAAGAATAAAGCTGCACAGGCTAGATAACCGGCCCCGAAGGGTGAGCTGGAGACACTCATCCATTTTAAACCTGCGGCACAGCTTTTAACACCGCTCCAAGCGCAAGTTTTAACTTTTTGGTATTCCAAACAGAACAATCAATCAGAGAATTAGGGTGAAAAAGGAATATCTAGCCGTGACCACAAATCACTTTCTGTATCGAAAGCCGACAATCTGAGCCCTCACCCCCCGAGCAGGTGAGGGTCACCCAGGAGGGAAGCCGGGAACGGTCAGGACAGGTTTTCATCGACCTGCTCTCCAGGAGTCAAATTCTTTATGTTACTCTGCAGATCGAAAAGGACTCTCTCTCCCCTTGTCGGAGCCAAGGGGTTACCGAAGAAGAGGCTCACGTCTAGGGGGGCCTCGGCCTCGGAGCCCCACGAGTCTGTGTCGGAGCCACTCGGGTCCTCAGCCGTCGTGGGCGGGCAGCTGAGCTGCTCTAACTGGTCGACGATGTCCGAGAAATGGAAGGCCGAGCTGGCCTCAGAGCGGACCGAGCAGGCGGGGAAGTTGGCCATGGAGCTGGCCTCGGACTGGGCGGCAGAGCCGGGCGTGTGCGCGGACAGGCTGCCGGCCAGTGGCGCGTTGCTGAGGGAGCTGGTCTCGGACCGGTGGAGCCGGAGCGAGCTGGCGGCAGACGGGCTGAGCAGGCGCTGCATCAGGCTGGCCTGCGCCTTCACCTCCAGCAGCTCCGAGGTGTCGGCAGGGTGCACGTCGCCGAGGCTGCCCTCCTCCTCGGACTCAAAGCCGCGCACCCCACTCCCACGGGCCGGCTCCGGGGAGGACCCCTCCGGGCTGGACGGGGCAGACCCCAGGCGGCCACACAGCAGGGCCTGCGGGCGCAGACTGCCGAAGGGGAAAGGAAAGGCCTCAGAGCCTCCGGCAAAGAAGATGTCTGCCAGGCCGCCATCTCTGAACTCCTCGAACGCCGGCAGCTGGGCGCTTGTCAATGTGAAAACAGGGCCCCCCCGGAGGCTCTGCCGGCCACACGTGGGCGCCCCCCTGGAAGGGGAGGGGCCCACGGTCAAGGCACCCTCACCATGGCCACTGTGACCTGCACGCTCCCTGCCGGCCCCCCCTGCCTCTAGGCCTAGGGCGGCGCGACTCAGCCCCTCAGTACTGCTGGGGCCACAGCTCCACACGCCCCGACCCGACCCGACACCTTGGCAAGGCTGGAACGCAGGCGGCCCGGGGGGCGGGGCCGCGGCCACGCCGCTCCTCTCTGCAGCTGGCCACCTGGCGCTGGGAGCCGGGGGCCCTGTCGGGGAGCTGCTGCTGTCCTTGGAACCGAGCAGGCCCACGGGGGCTGGAGGGGAGGCGGGGCCCGAACAGAAGGAGGCACTTGTTGAAGACGGGGACGCGGGAGTCCTCGTGCCCTCGGTGAACAAGATGCTCTGGGGATCAAATCAGGAGAAGAGAAAAAGGAACACGTGAAATGAGCAATTACTGTTGGGAAGTCACAGAGCTAACTGGGCCCAGGTGAGTACAGCCGCACCCACACATTTCTGTCACAGCTTCTACAAAGGAGGGCAGCAGGTCAGACCTTTCCTTTTAGAACTGAAGATCTGTAAATGCAGACAGGATTTCAAACGGACCCAGGATCTATTTAGGTCCCTTGTAAGTCCACTTTTTTCTCTGCGTTAGGCGTGACCTGTCTACAAGAAAGGTCATTTCCACCACTAAAGGCCCTGAGTCTCCCTGGCACCCGGGTCACCCTGAAGTTGCCTGGGGCTGTCTTTGGGCATCATTGTTCCCCTGGGGCTAGGCAGCTGGAGGAGGGGTGAGCTGCCCCACTCAGCTACCCAGGCGCCCTCCCCCGCCCTGCCAGGGGTCACCGGGGGACAAAAGGCATTGGTGCATCCACACACCGCCTGGGCAGCAAGGGCCAGGTCCGCACACGGAGCTCCTTGCCCACGCCGTGCACAGGAGCCCCGGGCATCTCGGAGGCGCAGGAGCGGCCCCGCGTATGAGCAGGAAGAGGCTGACAAGGCAGGTGTGGAGTGCTGGGAGGGGCTGCTCGCCACGCCGGGCGCCTGCACTGCGTCCTGGCTCACAGTCCCACACGCAGGGACACGGAGCAGCCCTTCCCACTCACGTGTCACCGAGACACAGCCGTGTCACACCGGCACTCACAACATCACAAGGGGGTGGTCAGACCAAAGCAGAAGCAGCAGCAGCAGCAGCACAGCGACCACCCCTTTAGACAAAGCGGCAGCTCGTGACCCGTAAGATTAATCCCTTTTCGTGTGTCTACCACGTGGCTTTTTCTAATCATCGACCATATTCCATATTCTCCGTGATTTTCAAAAGACAGCATCGGAGAACTGAAAGCTTAAGTGTAACTTTTAGACCACTCACAAATTTGAACTTTGTTAAAGAAACAAAAATAAGTTCTTTTAATTTCAGTTGATTTAACAAGGAATTCCAAAATAGAAAACGTACCTAGAAGAGTTAAAGAATGTTGATATTTAAAAGACCCGATTAAAAAAAAATTTAGGACACATGAGCTTTTAATATATGAGGTACAAGTGTAGCTTCTGGAAATACTATAACAGTATAAATGACAAAACTGTCAACGAAAATCAACTTTGTGCAGCAATAAAAATGTATAAATATGAAACTATACAGCCACACATAGAAAGTTATGAGATAACAGTACATGAAAAGAGCAAGATTCTCTGTAAAAATATACTTGCATGTGGCAGTCAACACGCAAATGTGAACACAGGGAGCGACAGCAGAGAAGCAGACCTGAAACACAGAGTCACTGACGTCCCGGCCTCACAACACAGCACTGTCACGTCTGGGACACTGTGGCCAAACGTCTCCTGTGAGTGTTTGTGTGCACCTGTGTGTACCTGTTTTCATATAGCTGTGATCATGTCAAACACACAGGCATACACATTTGTTTCCTGCTTTTCACCCTTAAGATAATAGCAAAATATGCACTCAGTGAACACGGCTTCACTAAGCAAATCACCTCCCTAAGCTGGCATTTAACCGCACTTTGCACTTTTATAGAAGGAGTATTTCTCAGTTGTTTTCCTGACAACAAAAAGCACTGTGTCCACTGCACAAAGAGAAGAAAAAATACATAGAGAGAAGCACAAAGAGAAGACAAAAACTGCCTGGATCCAATCGCTCAGAGATCACGTTTGATGCTGTGCATACACTTCTCTTTTTAAATCAAAATGAGGACGTGACCCAGGCTGCTTTGCACCCTGCTACTTTCACATACTGATATTTTCTGGGCGCGTCCTGCTCATGCACTATTCTCCCGAAACGAGATTAAATTTTAAAGGCTCTTGAGTAGCGCCTCACGTGGACACGCCCAGAACTGCCAGTGACTCACCCGGCACAGACAGTGGTCGCTAGGATTTCTCGAATGACAAACCACACTGTCACACATCTCAATGCACAGAGCTTTCTCTTCACTCAGGACTCCTTTCTGCAAACAGGGTCCCAGGATTGGAATTTCCGCACAAATGACAAAGCTAATTTTAGGACTCTTGTTACAACATTGCCAGATTATTTCCCCAAAGAGGACAGGTGATTATATCGTGTACGTTTTACGCAGAAGGACTCACCTGCCTCGGCAAGTTGGCATTTAGGGCGCGGAGAGACATCTGGGTCTTGCTGTGTTTTCTGCAAACAGAGAACAGGCTGTGAGCCCCCAGCCCTCCTCGCCTGACCCCCATTTCTAAAGCAGCACATGCTGTGCCGCGCAAGGACTTGCATAAACATGTGGCCAAGCCTCTGTTAACGTGAGGCACGTAACCAGGAATGGCAGGATGACAGAAAACAAGCACTCAAACAAAAACTACACGTCCAGAAGAGGTGAAATTGTCCCCTTCACACTGAAGGAAAAACTCCACATGCAAAGCAACAACATGAATTTTCAGATTCAAAGTTTACCACGCTATGTAGAAACATTACATCTAATATGTAAAAACATTACATCTAATATATAAGAACATTACGTCTAAGCTAAGCGATGCAGACTAGAACCAGAAAGTAGTATCTGTATCTGTACACAGTAACTGTAAATGACTGTAAAATACAACCTATCACCATTAAAATAAATAAAAGAAACAGAACTCAAGTGCCAAAATACACGTTTACATATTTGAAATGATTTTTACTCAAATACAGGTTAAAGTATTTAAAACGTTAATTTTCAAAGCCCACACTTTTCATCATGAAGATGAGAAAATTTACCTTTCATACGGAATCCTCTTCATCCCACCGTCTTTGACATAATCCACTAGTTGCTTCTGAGTTCTTCCACTGTGAAAAAAATCAGGTTTTAAAGAAAACAATAAACAGTAATTCACAGCATTAATTTTTCACAAAAGCAAAGGAAAAGTAAGACTTGCCCATCCTCTCTCACAAGTTTACATATACATCTAAAAATTATACTTTGCAACAAGCATAACCAGTTTTCTAAACAATTTTTACGAAGCCTATTTTTCCCACTATTTTATTTGATAGGCTTTCTCCAGTTTTACAATAGCTGCAGTCTGCGTGTAGTTCTCTGGAACATTCACACCACCTTCTTCTTGACTGAGGCTGTTCGGGTTCTCAGTCCCACAGACAAGGCCAAGACCCGCCTGGCACTGCTGCCCCACCTGTATCTGAAGGAGGAACCTCTGCTGAAGAGGATGGCTCTAGCTCTGGGCTTCGGCTGATCAGAAAGTCTGAAAAAGGTGTGATACTCTACACACGTCTTCCAGAAGTTCTTACACGCGTCCCTACTCCCCAGCACGAATTCCAGGGTGTCCTGGTAAGGCCCCTGGGAACAAAAGACAAAGGTTCGAGTCACTATGTCAAGAATAAAATTTAGGAAGGCAAAAGGCTACTCCAAAGTTAAAGATTAGCACATTTTCTTCCTCAAAGTTGTATACAAAGACTTCTGGTTCCATTTACATTTAAGAGAAGAAAAACACAAGGTATATATTCATTGTAGAAACATCAGGAAAATGTGGCCATCTACAATTACACAACTGCTAACATTCTGAAGTTTATCTTTGTAACCTTTTCCCACCTAGGAAACTAAGGCATCTTTCCAGGCCGGCTGACGCATTTATCTGTTATCACCCAATCATTCTCCTGGGGGTTTTTCTGGGATGTTTCAGATGCCCAGGACACACAGGGTTTTCAGGCTTACAAACATCACCATGAAGAAACTACTGCATTGTCTCTCATGGCTATTCCTTAGGATAAATTCCTAGAAATGGTATATTGAGCTCAGAAACAATGCACATTTTTGAACCTTATGATATATTATTACCAAATTACTTGCCAGAAAGAGCATAATACTTTGACTCCTATGTTTAATCTTAAAAATCTAAGTGCTTAGGGATATAAAACGTAACCTTGCCAGGTGCAGAGACAGACACAGTCCGGAACTTTGAAACATCATGCTGTTCCAAAGAAGAGCTGCTTTGGAATATAAAGCCGCAATTCTCTTCTCTCCCTGTCCTTTCTGCCAGAAAGTTTTTTTTTTTTTTTTTTACAGAGGAAAAAAAAGGCAGCCTTTTACTTGTATTTTGTACATGCTTTTGGCATTCCTTATACTCCTCTCTCATCCGCACAAGAAATATTTGCGTGAAAAACAATTAAGCTATCTGTTCATACTTGCTACCAAACACACTTACACGCCGCACGTGACCCTGGGGTTTGACAAACGCTAATCAAGTGCCTTCGAAAAGCTTAGGTGAAGCCTCTCCTCCAGATCGGCCGGAGCTCTGAGCTCCTAGAGTGTGTCTAAACTGACAGCCTCCTAAGCTCCAACCCCACAGCGGCTTAGCTAATCCGCTTTCTATTCCCTAACTTCCTTTGTACAGTAGACATGTGACAACGTGAACGTCTCTGAATAGTCTGATGCACTGGATTTTTCCAACTATCAGACTGTACAGACATTTACTTTTCCCCCTTTTTACTAATTTCAGTAAATTTATATTTAATTATTACCTTACTGACTCACAATCTCAAAAGAAAGGAACATTTATTTTCTGAAAATCAAGTCTACTTCAATTAGAGCTATTAAAGGGTCAATTTCTCAATCAAAGACACATGAGAATATTGGAAACGCCCCTCTCTTCATTCTGGACAGAAGCTCCAACACTGATTTGCTGTGGAGCTTCTTCAGATCACAGCTAAACACTCTGTATTTCAGCTTTATTACCCAAAGAAGGACTGGCTGTAATAGACCAACAGTTCTCAGCAGCCCTGGGAGTTTGTCGCACATGCACTCTCTCAGGCCAACCCCACAGCTGAGTCTCAGGCGGGGCCGCCCCCGGGGATGCTGATATGCCCTCTAGGTGAGAAGTGCTGGGCAGGTCACCCCGAAGCCTGTCCCCAGTCCCGAATCCTGTCCTTAAATTCTTATGTGAGTTATGCTGAAACGATATATAAAGTAATTAAAGGGACTTCCCTGGTGGTGCAGTGGTTAAGAAGCCTCCTGCCAGTGCAGGGGACATGGGTTCGAGCCCTGGGCTGGGAAGATCCCACATGCCGCAGAGCAACGAAGCCCGTGCGCCACAACTACTGAGCCTGTGTGCCACAACTACTGCAGCCCACGTGCCCTAGAGCCCGTGCTCTGCAACATGAGAAGCCACCGCAATGAGAAGCCCGTGCACCGCAACTTAGAGTAGCCCCTGCTCGCCGCAACTAGAGAAAGCCCACGTGCAGCAACAAAGACCCAACTCAGCCAAAATTAAACAAATAAATTTTAAAAAGAAGTAATTAAAAACTCAGTATTCTAGCAGAGTAAATTCTCTTACAACTTAAAAAGTTCTCAAAATAATACTTACATGGACCTCTGGGTGGAGTTTGATAAGAAACCTCTTCCTCTTAAAGCTGAGCTTCCGGAGCCTGGACCAGTTGAAAGTGTTGATCTTGGTGCTGCTCTGGAATTCAGGACACAGACGTTCGTTGAGGAACATCTGTAACCTGACGCATGCACACGACTTTTCATGAAACAGAGAAGGTTAAGTCACATCCTTGCCAGAAAGCACAGCAAGCCCCTGACACTTTATGTTCGGAAAGGCTCTGAATTAAAATGTCAATACTAAGCACACTAATCTCTCTGTTTTAGGAAGAAAACTTTATTTCTTTGATAAAGCTTTATTACAACCTCTTGTTTTCAATGTTAACAGTGAACATTTTTGAAGCCCCCCTACTGCGAGGACGGCGGCTGGGAGGGGCCTGGTGGTGGCAGGGCGGGGCTGGAGCGGAGCTGGGTTTCTCACTGAAGGGAAGGACGGAGGGATCCCGGGGTGCTGGATGGGACCCGGACCCAAGGCTGAACCCCCAACTCTCCAGAGTGGGCACACTGGGCAAGGACCTCAGCTTCTAAACAATTTTGTCCACTAAGGAGACCAGGGCCCTTTGCTCTTCCAGGGTGGGGCAGGCAAAGAACAAAGGAACCTGGACCATCTTATTGCGTAAGAAAGTAAACAAGTGCTCAAAAAATGACGGGGAAATGTCAAAAGGACACAGGAGGGACTTCCTTCCCTGGTGGTCCAGTGGTTAGGACTGCACCTTCCAATGCGGGGGCGCGGGTTCGATCTCTGGTTGGGGAGCTAAGATCCCACATGCCTCGCAGCCAAAAGACCAAAGCATAAAACAGAAGCAATATTGTAACAAATTCAATAAAGACTTTAAAAATGGTCCACATCAAAAAAATCTAAAAAAAAAGAAAAGGGCACAGGAGCCACCTGAAGGGACTCCCTGACGTGGGTCAATTTAAAGATCAAAACAAACAATGACAACAGATCAAGTATCAGATTATAACCCGAATTATAACTTGAGTGATAGTACGATTATAATACAAACCCATGATCCACAGGGACGTAAAGACAATAAACAAACGAGGAGAAAACCCTTCTAGGATCATGAAGAATGGAATTTAAAAAGCTGCCTTTTGGCAACCATCTGGGAAATTTACAGTCTTCAAGTATCTCTCCACAAAATGCTTACTAATTACAAAGGATAAAAAGTCACTTTGCAGCGAAGAAGCCTGTCAAACGCCTTCCAACCATGTGATGGATACTGGCACTACCGGCAATGGGACAGACAGGTACCGTGGGCCACCTCGCGGGCTGCACCAGGCACACTCGCTTGTCATTCACCCGCCCAAGAAGCTTAACTAGGGTCTGATCGTCAGCAGGTGCTGGGAGGCCCATGTCACAAAATGACTGGCCTTGAACCTTCCAAAGCATCAAGGTCAGGAGAATCAAGGAGAGAAGGAAGAGAGTTCCAGACTGAAGAGGCCAGAGTGGGATCCTGACTGGGCAGAGAGCTTGGCCTCAGAAGGGATCTTCTGAAACCAACGAGACTGGGGCAACTGGTGGAAGCTGGATGCGGTCTCTGGGGAAGGAGCACGTTCTACTGTTCTCATATCCTTTCCATAACCTTGAAACATTTCCAGAATTAAAATGTTAAACGGACTGAAACACTTTTCTGGCATTTTCTTTTCTATTCTCGATTATCATGACCATTTACTCTTTTCTACAAATTCAAGATGGGGGGTGGCAAGGTGAAGAATGTTTTCCCTTCAGAGATACTAAAACAAACAAACAAACAAAACAAAACAAACCCACAACAACTTAAGCAATTAAAGAGGAAGGAGGCACTGAAACATGCATGACACGGACAAACTCTGAGATGGGAAAGCTGTCAGGCACAAAGGCCATTTACAGGAATGTCCAGAACAAGGAAATCAGCAGAGACAGAAAGCAGGGGCGGGCAGTGACTGCTACGGTGCGTGGGGTGAGGCTGCGATTTAAACGTTCTGGGGTTAGTGGTGACGGTGACACAATTCTGTAAATATACTAAAAACAACTGAATTATACTTTTAAATGGTGAACTTTATGTTATGTGTGAATTATATCCAGTTTTTAAAATTCCTGAGTTAAGAAGTGTCCTTGAGGCCAAGATACAAATGACAGGGTCTAGATGAGACCCAAGTATCCCAGCTCCCAACACTGTCCAGACACGAAGTCACTTCAACTGCTACTCAAAGTAAAATATTTGAGGGTTTTCAACTGGGTTCTCAAAAAAGCAAACAAAACAACCAAACAATAAAACATCAACAAAAGAAAAGAAAAGAAAACGCCCACCGCCAGCTCTCACCTCTAGATGGTAGGTGCCTAGGGCAAAGGCTTAAGAAAGCAGGTGGCCACAGGAGGGACAGGGAAGGGCCTGTCCTCCCCAGGAAGACACAGAAAAGAGCGAGAGACACACTGTTCCCAGCTGCAAGCTTGCCTTCCCATTTTCCCTTTGGGTCAAAATAAAAAATCACCACATCTCAGGGCTTTAACCGAGTCATAAATCGAAACAAAGAATCCACGGATGACTGCCCTCACTCTGCCCTGGTCAACCCTGACACTCACCGAGCAGCACGCCACTCAGAGCCACTGCTTTCATTTTGGATTTTATCAAAAAAATCCACGGCTCAGCTGTAAATGCCAAGTAAGACCTGAAACACAACCCAGAGACTCAGGGCTCTCCGGGCCACCCTCAGGCCTGCTCCCCCGGACAGAACCGCCTTCCGGACCTGCATCCGCATGTCCACACAGCTCGTCCAAGGCTGCTACTGTACCCTGCTCTGAGATCTCGTCTCCTGGACCTCCACACCCACCACGACCTCACGTCCACCCCTCCCCACACTCCCTCCATTTTTGGTAAATTTAAAATTCGGTATTTATATTACTGATCACGTAAGTACTGCTTGCAAGTTGAGCCAACCTGAATTATAACTATACTTTGCTCCTTTGCTTTTTAAAATTAATTAATTAATTAATTTTGGCTGCTTTGGGTCTTCGTTGCTGCACGCGGGCTTTCTCCAGATGTGGCAAGCAGGGGCTACCCTTCGTTGCGGTGTGTGGGCTTCTCGTTGCGGTGGCTTCTCTTGTTGTGGAGCACGGGCTCTAGGTGCACGGGCTTCAGCAGTTGTGGCACGTGGGCTCAGCAGTTGTGGCTCACGGGCTCTAGAGCGCAGGCTCAGTAGTTGCGGTGCACGGGCTTAGCTGCTCCACGGCATGTGGGATCTTCCCGGACCAGGGCTCGAACCCGTGTCCCCTGCACTGGCAGGCGGATTCTCAACCACTGCGCTTCCAGGGAAGTCCACTCCTTCGCTTTTAATTTTCCTGGAGTCACTAACTGCTTCTTTTCATTTGCTTAATCTCTAGGTACCTGTCGCTAATTCAGCCCCAAACTTCCCCGCAGACCTTTAGAATTCTTCGATACGGTCTAACCCATGAAGCCATCGCTCATTCTTCCCCCTGCCCCCTCACAGGCCACACCTCCCGGCTTGCGGGATCTCAGTTCCCCAACAGGGACTGGACCCGGACCCTGGCAGCAGAAGCACCGAGTCCTAACCACTGGACACCAGGGAGCTCCCCTGATCAGCCCTTTCTTGGAGGCCGCCTCTGTGCTTATGCTGACGAACGTTCTCCCCATCTGAGCACAGCCCGCACCTCTGCCTTCTCCAATCTGAGTCACCCTGTTTCCTCAGCTCCCATCCGAGTTTCTCCCTCCTCCAGTGTTGGCCTTCAAAAGGCTGTGCAGGAACTGAATTTCTGAAAACCTGCATATATGAAAATGCTTTCATGTTCTCTCTGTACAGGAGTCGCGTTGCACAGGGCACAGAATCCCAGGCTGGAAATGCTCTTCTTTCACGTGTATAACCTCCCGTCTCCAGCTTCCAGTCCTGCCGCTACTAGCCCGGCAGCTCTCCAACTGCCCCCACCTCTGGCAGCTCGCACTGACGAGTCCTGCTGCCGTCACACTGGAACCTGCAGGCACCTTCAACCTGGAACTTTGTGCCTTGAGTTCCGGAAACTTTTTCTCGTGTAATTTCTTTAACAATTCCTCCACTGATTTTTGGTTCCTGCTTCTAGAATTCTGGGGTGCTGGACCTCCTGGATAGCGCCGGAATTTTCTTTACTTTTCTCTCCCATCTTTCACCCTTTATCTTTTTATTTTTTATTTTTTATTTCCGTACGCGGGCCTCTCACTGTTGTGGCCTCTCCCGTTGCGGAGCACAGGCTCCGGACGTGCAGGCTCAGCGGCCATGGCTCATGGGTCCAGCCGCTCCACGGCATGTGGGAGCTTCCCGGACCGGGGCACGAACCCGTGTCCCCTGCATCGGCAGGCGGACTCTCAACCACTGCGCCACCAGGGAAGCCCACCCTTTATCTTTTATTCTGTTCTGTGGAGATTTCCTCAACTGCATCTTCCAAACATTCTTGTTCCGCCAACGTGCGTCACTCTTGTTCTCCGTAACTGCCCTGCTCTTGTTTCAGAGATGCAAGCTTTTCCCTTATTTCTGTGAGGCTTTTTAGAAAACGTAAGGCACACAAATTGAAGGTCTGTGGCAACCCTGCACTGAGCAAGTCTATGGGCGCTGATTTTCCCAATAGCATTTGCTCACTTCGTGTCTCTGTGTCACATTTTGGTAACTCTCACAATATTTCCAACTTTCATTATTATATTTGTTATGATATCTGTGATCAATGATCTTTGATGTTACTGTTGGAAAAAGATTATGACTCTCTGAAGGCTCAGATGATAGTTAACACTGTTAGCAATAAAGTATTTTTAAATTAAAAAAAGAAAGAAAATGTAATACAGTAACATACTAACAAGGTTCAAATTCTTAAGGTACCAAAATTGAGTCCAGAATGAACAGGCCCCTCTCCCCACTTCCAAAAGCCTGCAGGCTATAGTAACCATCCTAGGGGCAGTCAACACCAGTTTATTTTGTAGGGAATAAATAGAGTGTGTGTGTTTATAAGTTCCCCTCTTTTCCCCATAAGCGGTAGCAAATTCCACACACAGTTTTGAACATCTTCTCCATTTAACAATACATCTCAAAGAATGTTTCACGTATCAGGACACAGAGAGCACATGCAACCTTTGGACAGTTGTCCAATTATCCCATAATATGGATGCCCCACCATTTATTTAACCAGCCTCCTAATAATTAATTACCAGTATTTTACTATTACAAACAAGGCCAGAATAAAAAATCACAAGAGAAACGTTTACACTCGTGCTAAAGCTGTGTTCCTGTTCCCCACGAACGCGATGTGGGTAAAGCGATTTTTCTGTTTTGCCAATCTGATAGATGAAAAGCAGTAACCTCTCTGAGGAAGCGTGCTTTCCATTTCTTCCACCCCCAGCACAGTTTCTGTTTCTTCTGAGTCTCTTCTTCGCACAAATTTGGGACGTGTCCCTCAAATACCATCTTCCCTTGAAGAAAGGCTTTCCTCAAATTTCTGGCGACCCTTGGTCACTGTCTTTATTTAACAGCGAGGCTCTGGGTGTGCCTGAGTTAGTGACCATCCTGGTAGACACTGGCCAGGGAGCATCACGAGGGGACGCTAGTCTAAGGGACATGACAAGGGACAGAACATCTGTGTCTTAAAGCGGCTCTCCATGGACCACTTATTAGTTGAAAGAGGAAAATCAGTAACTATGCAGTAGAAGAACCAGAAAACACAGCAATCAAGGTTTGCATCGCCAGGGAGGCCAGGTGGCATCTCGGGTGTGACCCCCGAGGGGGACACATGTCCCCTGGGCAGTGGTCCAGCTGGGAACACGTCACCTGAATCTAATCACAGGAAAACAGCCGACAAACACAGACGAGGAACTTTCTATTACAAAGGGGCTGTGTTCTTCAACACCGTCTTCATAAAAGATAAAGAAAAAAGAATGTTCCAGATTAAAGGCAACTGCAGCGTGACGGCCTGGTTCTAGATGGGATCCTGTCCTGCAGGGAGACCACTGGCCAGCTGACAGGACTGAGGACGGACCCGTGTGCCAGGTGTTAAGAGCCTGCGGCCTCAGTGGTGACTGACTGTGGTCACGACAGGGCATATACTCTGCTCTTGGGAAACACACACTGAAGTTCTCGGGGTAAAGGCCCTGACGTGTGCACCTTACTCCCCAAGGCTTCAGAAAAAACTGTGTGCGTCTGGGCGTGTGTCTGTGCGGCAGGGATGAGAACACATGTCAGCGGGAGGTGCAAATGGTGACAGCTGAACCTGGGGGACAGGTGCATGGGGTCTCTGTGTGCTATCCTCATTCTCACAGCTTTTTGGGACGTTTGAATTGAAAGTGTTTCCAGATGGAAGTCTTTACAAGAGGAGGCTCTGAAGTGCTGGCTGGCAGCTCCCAGGGCTGCAGCAGGGTCCCCGATGTCAGAACCAGCTCGTGAGGCACCTCATCTCCACCTTCCGAGGGGAGGGAGGCGCCTCGTCCTGGAGGGGCGGGTCGTGCTGTAGCTGCCGGCCCCGCCCCATCCGGCCTCCCCGCCCCCCTGGGGATCCCAGGCTCCTCGCTGGGCCGTCAGGGCCTGCTTCCCTACTCCCCAGACTCTGGCGATAGTCCTTGTTTTCTGTGGTTTCCTTTTCCATTCTTTGTTCTTACTGATGTAAGGTTAAAAAAAAAATTCCTTAACGGTCATGCCGGTGGGGATTTTGAGGGAGTGGAAATGAATTCAATCTGCCGCCTTTCATATCAAGTCTCTAACCTCATGCTTTTGCGGTTTCTTCTGGTCATAAATTATTTGTCCTTTTCTGGAGAAATGACAACAGCTTGATCCTGAGGGACGTGATTTCCCCTCTGTGCCAGGTAGGAACCGCCATCAAAGGGAGCGGGTGTGGGAGGCCCTGGACACCACTCAAAGGGCCTGGATTTCAGGTGGAATGTAACAGAACTGACATTCTAAACGCAAAATTAAATTTTTTTCCAACGGGAAATTGAAATTTGCTGGCTAAGTTGAGAAAGAGAAAGGAAAAGCAGAAGAAACAAAGTGTCCTTGATCAGGGAGGCCTGGATCAGACCAGCCGTTTCAGGCGCCGGCAGCGAAGACGGGCCACAGCGGGAAGAGCCGCAAAGCCAGCCCGGCGCCAAGAGCGCCACCGCCAACCCTGGGCACCACGTTCCACCGGAGGCGCCCGACTCCACGGGCCGGGAGCAGGCAGCTCCTGGAGGGGAGGCGGGAGCACCTGGTGAGGCGCGGGCTCCGGAGCTGCAGGCCGGTGCCCTGGCAGCTCTTTCCAGGCGCGTCACACCCCACGGCCCGGCACAAGGACATTCACCACAAACACGACTCAGTGGCCCTTTATGTAACACTCACCCATCCGAACACCGCTACCGCACACATCCCCGGGAACCCTAGCACTGCCCTCGGAGGGTCCCCAGGCTGTTCTGTCTTGTGCTTTGAACGGTGACTGGGACCCGTGGCGGAGACCCCACAGGGCAGCAGCCTCCCCGCGGGGGTGGACGCCGCCCTACAGGGCAGCCAGAGCCAGGCTTGAGGTTCCACGGGGGCAACCTTCTGTCAACGTTAGAAGGACAGTGGGACGTGACTGAGCGCCCTGCGGGCCGTGGGCCCCGTGACAGTGAGTCCAGGACAAGAAGACAACTTCTCTAACGGGTGAGAGGTCGGATCGGAGGGTCCGCAAAGCTCTTCCTCCAAGTCTAAGACGGATTCAGCAACAAAGACTTCCCAGAAAACGTAAAACAACCCCAAGAAGCCACAGCACAGCCGCCCTCCTACCTGGAACACGAGGACGCCCATGTGGGAAACGGCCAGGTTGATCTTGGTCCCCTCCCTGTCAGAGGCCATGTGAAACCTGATGCCGTACATTTCCAGCTTCCGGGCAATTTCCAGCACCTGGAAATCCGACTCGGCAGGCGTCTGGCCCCTGTAATAAAAGACAGCATGATCACAGCACTCCTGAAAGAGCCGAAACACAGGACAGAAGCGACCAGGAAAACAGACCACAGAAACAAACCAACAAAGGAGGCTCTGTTCTTCAGAGGGTCGGTCACTCACTGTATGTTTATGTACACACATCAAACAAAACACCGCACACAGGCCATGGAAACGTCCGCTTGCTTCTATTCTGTAATCCATTTCCTAGTGGGTCAAATGTTTTCTTTGCACTCATTAGATGTTCAGCCTTATAACTTTGTCTTAATACAAAGTAATGTGCAAACATTATGTGCAGAGACAAATAGTAAATAAAGGAAATACCACAGATAACTCTAGTATCTCATTAAACCCATTTCAAAACTTTAAAAAACTATTTTCAAAAAGTGCAATTCTAACCATTAGAATACACTTTTATAAAAATGAAATTATCGGGCTTCCCTGGTGGCGCAGTGGTTGAGAGTCCGCCTGCCGATGCAGGGGACACGGGTTCGTGCCCCGGTCCGGGAAGATCCCACATGCCACAGAGCGGCTGGGCCCGTGAGCCATGGTCGCTGAGCCTGTGCGTCCGGAGCCTGTGCGTCCGGAGCCTGTGCTCCGCAACGGGAGAGGCCACAACAGTGAGAGGCCCGTGTACCGCAAAAAAAATAAAAATAAAAAAATAAAATTTATATAAAAATATTTTGCTAAAAAAGTGACTACTTACTCAGTTACAGCTAAATATTCTCATAAACATTAAGAATATCACATATTGGGGCTTCCCTGGTGGCGCAGCGGTTGAGAGTCTGCCTGCCGATGCAGCGGACACGGGTTCGTGCCCCGGTCCGGGAGGATCCCACATGCCGTGGAGCGGCTGGGCCCATGAGCCATGACCGTTGAGCCTGCACGTCCGGAGCCTGTGCTCCGCAACGGGAGAGGCCACAACAGTGAGAGGCCCGTGTACCACAAAAAAAAAAAAAAAAAAAAAAGAAGACATTGTCAAAATGAATAAAAATATAATCACCACAACAATTGGTTTTATTGACGCCTCACACGCGGCCCACATGGCGCCGAGCAGCTCCAAGGCGTGACGCTCAGGTAAGTCCCAAACACTCCATGTGGGACGTTCCATTAACAACTCTTTTTTTCTTCTTACTTCTGAATGCCTGCGTTTTTGGATCTTTAAGGAATAACACAACTGTTTGCGTTATGCCATTCTTGTGATTTCCATTCTTTGACTAAAATGTCTGTTCTCTGAAGTTGATATAGACATCTATTAACTTGCATTTGAATAAATCATCTTCAACTAGATGATGATTCCATTGTATATCCACCACATCTTATTTACCCATTCATCTATTGATGGGCACTGCTTCTGTATCTAGGCTATTGTAAATTATGCTGCTATGAACACTGGGGTGCATATATCTTTTCGAGCTAGTGTTTCTCTTTTCTTTGGGTAAATACCCAGGAGTGGAATTGCTGGATCATATGGTAGCTCTATTTTTAATTTTTATTTATTGATTTTAATTTTTTTAAAAAATTGGAGTAGAGCCGATTTACAATGTTGTGTTAGTTTCAGGTGTACAGCAAAGTGAATCTAATGTATCTACTCTTTTTTCGATTCTTTTCCCATATAGGCCATTAGAGAGTATTGAGTCTATTTTTAATTTTGAGGGGAAGCTCCATACTATTTTCCATAGTGGCTGCAGCAATTTTCATTCCCACCAACAGTGCACAAGGGTTCCCTTTTCTCCACATCCTTGCCAACACTTATTTCTTGTCTTTTTTAAAAAAATATTTATTTATTATTTATTTATTTTGGCTGCTCTGGGTCTTAGTTGTGGCAACGCAGGATCTTTGCTGCGGCATGTGGGCTCTTAGTTGTGGCATGTGGATCTAGTTCCCCGACCAGGGATTGAACCTGGGCCCCCTGCACTGGGAGCACGGACCTCTGGACCACTAGGGAAGTCCTCTCTTGTCTTTTTTTTCTATCGAAGTACAGTTGATGTACAATGTTATATAAGCTATAGGTGTGCAATATAATGATTCACAATTTTTAAAGGTTATATACTCCATTTATAGTTATTATAAAATACTGGCTCTATTCCTTATGTGTATAGTACATCCTTGTAGCTTATCTATTTTATACTTAGTAGTCTGTACCTCTTAATCCCCTACCCCTATCTCACCCCTCCCCGCTTCCCTCTCCCCACGAGTAACCAGTAGTTTGTTCTCTACATCTGAGTTGGTTTCTTTTTTGTTATATTTACTAGTCTCCTGTGTTTTTAGATTCCACACATAAGTGAAATCATACAGCATTTCTCATTCTCTGTCTGACTTCTTTCACTTAGCACAATGCCCCCCAGGTCCACAGAGGCTGCTGCAAGTGGCAAAGTTTCTGCCTTTTTTATGGCTGAGTAGTGTTCCACTGCACAATACATACCACGTCTTCTTTACCCATTCGTCTGCTGACTCATTGCTTGTCTTTCTGATGACAGCCATTCTGACGGGTGTGCGGTGGTGTCCCATGGTGGTTTTGATGTGCACTCCCCTGATGATTAGTGAGGGTGAGCGTATTTTCATGTGTCTGTTGGCCATCTGTCTGTCTTCTTTAAAAACATGTCTCTTCAGGTCCTCTGCCCAGCTTTTAATCACGTTGTTTGCCTTTTTCACGTTGGGCTGTATGAGTTCTTTGCGTATTTTTGCAGACATGTAATTTGCAAGTATCTTCTATTCAGTAGGTGGCCATTTGTCTTGTTGATGGTCTCCTTTGCTGTGCAGAAGTTTCTGGTTTTATTAGGTCCCATTTGTTTATTTTTGCTTTTGTTTCCCTTGCCTAAGGAGACAGGTCCAAACAAAAACATAGTTGACCCTGAACAACTCGGGGGTTAGGGGCACCGAGCCTCTGCACGTAAGTTACAGCCAGCCCTCTGTATCCGAGGTTCTACGTCTGAGAATTCAACCCGCCTAAGACCACGTAGTATGTAGCATCTACTACGGAAAACGGTCCATGTATAAGGGGACTCACCCAGTTCACGCATATGTTGTTCAACGGTCAACTGTATTGCTAAGACCCACGTCAAAAATATACTGCCTGTTTTCTTCTAGGAGTTTTATGGTTTCAGGTGTTACATGTAAGTCATCTTTTAAAAACATTTATTTATTATATTAGTTATTTGGTTGCACCGGGTCTTAGTTGCGGCAGCCAGGCCCCTTAGTTGCGGCTCGTGAACTCTTAGTGGTGTGGGATCTAGTTCCCTGACCAGGGATGGAACCTGGGCCCCCTGCATTGGGAGCGCGGAGTCTTACCCACTGTGCCACAAGGGAAGTCCCCTTACATGTAAGTTTTTAATCCATTTTGAGTTTATTTTTTGTATATGGTGTGAAAAAAGGGTCCAGTTTGATTCTTTCGTGTGTGGCTGTCCAGTTTCCCAATGCTGTTTATTCAAGAGGTTGTCTTTTCCCCATTGTCTAGTCTTGTCTCTTTTCACTCACCCACAAGTGTGTGGGCTCATTTCTGGGCTCTCTGTCCTGTTCCACTGATCTGTGTGTCTGTTTTTATGCCACTTCCTTCCCGTTTTGATGGCTGTAGCTGTGTAGTTGTTTGAAATCAGGGAGTGATTCCTCCAGCTTTGTTCTTTCTCAAGATTATTTTGGCTATTTGGGGTCTTTTGCGTTTCCGTACAAACTTTAGAGATATCTGCAACACTTACAAACACGTGCACATGTGCATACGAACACACGACGTGCAGGCGCAGAGCCACCTCTCAGGTCTGGTGCTTTACTCCCCTCAAGGCGGGTTCTCAGTGTGACTGAGCATAGACTGGTCACCGTCCCACCAGCCTCCCCATGCATTGGGGGGGGGGGGGTCACGTCATGAACCCCCACCCACCGGGCCCGGCAGTGAGCCTCTCGCACGGGGCTGTGGTCCCCATCCTGAAGCACTCTTCCCTGGGGTCCACGGCCCCAGGCTGTCTTCCTTCCTCTGGCTGCTCGTGGCCCTGTCCTGAGGGCCTCCTTCTCAAGGCCTGTGGGGCCTCTCCCCACCCCCATCCTCCAGGGGCGCGTCCTGGCCCCACCCCGCCTCCCCCTTCCCCCCGCCCGCCTCCCCCCTGGCCCCGCCCCGCCTGCCTCACCCTGCGCAGTGCGCTTTGGCTCCACCCCTGCCCCGACGCCGCTGCCCAGGTGGGACGCTTCACACCGCGGCCACCCCACCCTCCACGGGCGCCCGGCTCCGGCCCTGTGTGTCCTGGCAGGAAGGGGACCCTGCCCCCAACGCTAGGAGCAAATCCCACACAGGTGACCGTCCCCTTTGCGGCAGACCAGGGACTCACTCAGGCTGGCACGGGGAGGGGGCCCTCTGCTCGGCTGGTCCTCGGGGTCTGGGTGTGACACGGGGTGCGGCGCATTCCCCCGCCGCCAGCGAGAACCAAGGCAGCCTCGAAAGAGGCCACGCCGAGGGGCTCTAGGAAGCGGGGCCAGAGCCCTAAGGGCCAGGTGTGCGCTGAGGCCGCGTCTGGGAAAGGGTGGCCCCGTGTGCACAGCTCGGACGCCCAGCGGTGCCCCAAACCACCACACCCAAGACGGAGCTCAGGCCTTGGCTCCGTGACGAAGGGGGGCCCAGAGCCCAGGGCATGCGTGGCACCGCGGGGTCACGTGCAGCCTCCCGCCAGCAGCTGGGGCTATTACTGGCTCCTAGAACCTTGGGGGCTGTGCCCCCCACCCCCAGGCTGCTGCCTCTGCCGGCACCCTCACGGTCCTCCTGCACCCCATCCTCCCCGCAGAGTGGGCTCTGCCTGGCACTGCAGCCCACGTGCCACAAGTGACACATCTGTACAGACAGTGCCACCCCGAGCCAGGCACACAAAGGCCCGCTGGTGGCTCTGAGCGGTGAAGGCATGGAAAAGCGCACGGCCCCACAGGGAAGGGCATCCTCGAGGGTTGGAGCCTGGGTCTGCGTTGCCCGACGCCCGCCCTGCACGCGACGTCAGCACGCTCACCTCTCAGCAGGCTCCCCCACGAGGGGGGCCCAGTCCTCCAGGACCCCTCCCCATCGAGCTCTCCCTTTGGTGAACTCAAGCTCACAACCCCCGGGGCCCGGGGCCGCCAGCCCTTCTCATGGCCTCCCCATCTCTCTTCCCCTCTTCCTCCGGGTCGCCCTCACCTCGTCCCAGCGTCAAGCCTTAGGGAAGCCAGGCAGCAGGGCTGCAGCAGGAACCATCCCGCCCGCCCCCAACACCTGAGGACTGGGCGCGGCCAGTGCGGGACCCCGTCCACTGCCCCCCCACTTACGGAGGGATGCCAGCACTGCCCGGGGCCCGGGCACCCTCCCAGCCTGTCCCGAAGAGGCCTGTGGACGGAGTCCCGCCCGGCCAGCCGACTGTCCCGACGTCCGGCGGCGCCGACTCACGCGTGCCCCCGATGGAGCTCCAGGATCCGCTCCAGGGCCCGCTCCTGGCCCGGCAGGTACTCGTGGGCCCGCAGGTGCTCCCGGACCAGCGCCTCTTCGTAATCTCCAATTTCCGCTAAGAGGAGAAAGTAACAGGCGGTCTTTCTCATGTTTACATGAAGAAAAATACAAGTGTCTGTGCGTGCAAGTGCGTAAATTAAAAGCAGAAGAAAATTATCCTAAATCTGTAGCAAAAAAATATATCCCTTAAATAAACAAAATGTTGTATTTTATTTTTCCACATATTTTATGCCGTTCAAGGCAAACATAAAGGCAGGCGAAGAGAATTCTTTCTGAGTCTTGGAGAGGAAAGACGCTGGTGAGCGGCTCCAGGGAGGGAAACTCTGAGCTTTATACCCTGTTTGCTATGTTTTAAACGTTTTCTCTGTAAGTTGTCTCAAGACTACTGTGACCAGGATAAGGTCCTTTATTTTGTTTCAAGATAATGTATTTTAAATTGTTTCTTCCTTCAGGCCCTCTCAAATTCTTGAGGAACAGTGAATGTTTCTTTCTAATTTCATGTATTTTAAGGCCACACATATTTTCAAAATAGTAGTTAAAGCCCAATAATTTTAAGCAACATACTTTGTTTTGAGACAGTCTCAAATCACAGAAAAGCTGCATGCACAGGATCACAGCTTGGTGTGTGTTTTCTACAGAACGGGACATTCTCATGCATAACCCCGGCAGCACCACCCAGGTAAGGACAAGGCCACCACCTGCTGCTCCATCCGAGCCTCAGAACCCATTCACGTTTCAGCAGCCGCCTATCTTTAAAGCAAAAGACCCGGTCAGAATCCTACACGGCATCTGGCTGTCGTGGCCCTTTACCACCCTTCAGTCTAAGCAGCGCACTTCCACGGGGGAACTCACAGGCACACGAGTTGTTCTAAGATAATCAGGTGCGCAGAGCCCTCAGCAAGAGGCCCTGCCGAAGGCCGTCTGCCCTGAAAAGCCACCTGCTGCCTGAGAGGACCTCAGGGCAAATCACAGGTAACTAAGCCACTTCGACACCTGTGCTTATGGGTGTGAACGGGTCCCATTGTGCAGGACGGCAAACCTCTGGTAAAACCTGCTATTTGGAGAAGGTGAGTCAGGGGAGGGACCAAGTAAACTGCACACTAACCCATTAACTTAGAAGTTCCTAAAATCCTGGAACCTCTCTATATCATACTTCCTGAGTTCAAATTTCAGAAGTATTCATTCTATGCCAGGAAGATGCGGTCCAGCCTCTAGTCCAAAGCCAAGCGGGGATTTCCTTCTGTCTGTCCTGCAGTGGGGGGCGGGGGGGGGGCTGGAGAGCCCGGGCGAAGAGCGCACCTGCTCTCCAGACCCCCCTCTCTTACGCTTCTCCCAGGTCATGCCTGAAGTCACCATGGCGCTCAAACCACCTCCCGCTCTGAGATACTGAAGGGCTTCCTTTGTCCTTCGGGGACTGACGCCTGACTTGTCACGGGGGCTGTGACGCTCTCCCCAGAGTCGGGGTGCTGCCTGGCCCCCCCACTGGAGGTCTGAGGGCCACGTGAGACCGCGGGGAGGACGCGTGGCCTGTCTCCCCTCCCAGGTGGGAAGTTAACCCTCAGCCCTTCAGAAAAACCTGCAAACTGAACCACCCGTCCTTTGCTGGTGCCCAGCCTGGGGCAGGTGAGTCAGCCACAGGCGCAGCCATCCCGTGTGAGCGCGGGCCAGCGGGACACTCACCCTGCAGGAGGTGGGACGCAAGGAGGGCAGCCGTGGTGTCCGTGCAGGTCAGACGCTCCTCCAGAAGGTCTCTCTTAAGTTGCAGGGCAAACAAGTATCTAGGAGGGAGTTCCAAGCACAGAGATCAGCTCCAAAGCTTCTGAACACACGTCCCACGTCTGTCTCAGGAGGACACACAGCCCCAGGTCACACCAGAGTAGACGGCGAGCAAGGGCAGTCACAGGAGGCCCAGCACCACAGAGCTTAGCACATCCACACAGCGGGCGGTCCACACGCCGGGCACACCATAGCCCAGGGCACCAGATCACCTGGAGCCACACCTTCAAGGGGGAAGCTCACAAATTCGTGCCACTTCTGTTAACACACACAAAACTGCACTCGCAATTTTGTGTGAAGTAGCAGAAATAGCCAATGAAGGCGAAGCTTCAAGCGTGGCTATGAAGCTTTAAGGCAAATGGATAATGTTTGGGCTTGGCTAGAATCTGAGAAACAGGTAGTCTTGAATTAACTGGTGAGAATGTAACAGAGAGGGTGACTGAAACTATTTATATATTCATTTATTCCATGAGCAAATAATCCCCAAGCACATATATGCTCCAGGTGCTTTGGGGGTCCACTCCAGCGTGAGCCGTCAGCGTTTACTGTGCTCTCTTAAACTTGGAATGTACACACCCTTGGCCTTAAGCAATCCCACCCCTATGAACTTTTCTACAGAAACACTTCCAGAGTTCACAAAGATATGTGGACAAGCATGTTTATTTGCAGCATTACAGCAGAGAAAAACTAGAAACAATCTAAATTTGCACTAACATGAGACTGGCTAAATAAATTAGGTTACAGCCATACATACTAATACGGAAAGACATCCATGGCATGCCATGGATATGTGGGGGAAAAAGAAACTCAACCTGCAGTTCTCTGTGTAGAGTTTGATACTGTTTTGTAAAATAATGACTTTAAAGCCCCACATCTACTGGCATACCGCTGTGAATTCATCTGGAAGACTCACGTCCGAGCGTTAACACTTCTGGGAAGGGTGGGTGGGCAGGGAGTGAAGAGGAACGCTGACTTTTTACTCTACATAACTTTAAAGTTTTTCTTCTTTTACCACAAACATGCAGTGTTTTTATAAATAAAAAGATGACCTTTTGCATAAACCCGGCTTGGACCCAGGACACGGAATTAGGTTAACACTTCCTGTTACTCACCATTGTCTAGGAATAAAAAGTGATTCTCTCAAAAGGGACTTCCTGGTAAATGTGAGGTGTTTAATACACTATTAAGACAAGCTCTGTGCTCACTCGTAAGGTGCTTTCTGCCATCCTGGGGTTCAGCTCCTAACCCGTAAAGATGAGAGACTAGAGCCTTGCGGTCTCTACGTGTCCTCGCAGCTGAGTCTATGACTTTGTGATTCAGAAGCGGTTGGCAAAGACCGTCTAAGCAGAGGTTCTAAGACTCTGAGGACCCAGGTATAGATCCACATTTGGTTAGGAAGCTACTCTGTTACTACTGCATCATCATCATAGCTCTCTCTTATCTAACTTCTGACTCCGGGTTTTGAGTTGATTTTTAGGTTTTTGCTTTATTGCTCATGATAAAATCAGTACATAAAACACAAGGAAGAAAACCACTTCCATAATCTTATTGCCCAGATGAAACAACTGCAAACATTTTCTTTCAAAGAATCAATCGTGAATTGAAAAGCGTAGCAGAAAAGAAATCACCTGAAGTATTTCTGCTCCATATATTCATGAGGACACTCCCAAGCAAGTGTATTTTGTTGGTTAAAACAGTAAAGGAATGGGCGAAATTCCTACCGACTTCATGCGCAGGCATAGATCTATGGAGAGTATCTGTTCAGCAGTACCCTCAAACGCCATTTTTAATTCTCAAATTCGTGCCATAACCTTTCTTCCAAACCCTATCTGCATTTGTGTCTGTGCAAGAGTGAAAATGCAAAACTATGACACCTTGGTTACAGCTTTGACACAGACACTAGGCTCGTTCTTTGAATAAACAACCCTGACCAGGTGCTTAGGTAAAGCACAGGTGCTGTCGGGGATACAGGTGAAGGAGGACCCTGCCCATGGCAGCTCTGGGTCAGTCAAGCTCTTTACCGTGTATATTCTTCTTGCAACTGACCCGGATCAGGTGGGAAAAATTTCACTGCTAGGCGAAGCACTGTATTCTTTGGCCCTATAAAAAGAAAAATTTTAAAGTCCACAAATAAGGTCACACTCTGTATTTGCTATCTTTCTGCATATTCTGGTGTGATTGAGCTAGTGCTTTCAAATGGACTGTTAAAGCAAATCTTTTCAGGTGAGAGGATGTTAAGAAATTTCCTCTGCATGAAATTGTTAGTCCTCAGTACCAGTCACATATAGCAAAGAAAAAATTGAAAACTTTTGCTTTAAGTAGAGATTACTAAAAGAAACCCTAAAAACAAGCAGGAAACTGCACATTAAAATCTTAAAATGTATTCTTCTTTATATTTTAGGAGTAAAAAAGTGATTAAAAAATAAAGGTGTTTATACTATTAGTCATAGTAATAATTTTAAAAGCCTGGGAGTTCCCTGGTGGCCTAGTGGTTAGGACTCCGGGCTTTCACTGCCAGGGTCTGGGTATGATCCCTGGTTGGGGAAATGAAATCTTGTAAGCCATGTGGCAAGGCCAAAAAAAAATTAATAATAAGGGCTTCCCTGGTGGCGCAGTGGTTGAGTCCGCCTGCCGATGCAGGGGACACGGGTTCGCGCCCCGGTCCGGGAAGATCCCACATGCCGTGGAGCGGCTGCCCCTGTGAGCCATGGCTGCTGAGCCTGTGCGTCCGGAGCCTGTTGCTCCGCAACGGGAGAGGCCACGACAGTGAGAGGCCCGCATACCACAAAAAAAAAAAAAAAAAAAAAAAAAATTAATAAAAAGGCCATTATTTTTGAAATCCTTATATACTTTAGTGAAAGAAAAATGTTATCATTCACTATACTGAACTAGAAAAACCTGATTACTGTAAAGAAAAAGTGTAGGATATTAGCTTATCTGAGTATTTTAGCTTTATTGAAATTTTATAATAACACAGCCACGTGATTTCCACCACAAGAAAAGAGGAACTGTTTTGCTAAACTGCTATGGCAACCGAAATGGCCTTTGCTTATCAGTGAACAAAAGTCCCTTCCATACAACCTCTTCTCCTCAATTTAGTCCTAGAAAACTTACAGGTGAATTCAGGACTAGAGATTTCACCCCGTGTGTCTTTTCATAACTTAGAAACTGCACACTTATTTTTGGCCAAAAATGAAGGCAATATCGAGCAGCATATCCTATTTCTTCCAAATTTGAGGCAAGTAACTGAGAACTGAGTTAAACGACGCCCCACCCTCCACGTCTTACAGTTTAAAGCTAAACGGCAAAGTGACCTCCAAGTTCTCCTGCTGCTGGTGTCACTTTGCTGCTGCCCAGAGTGGCGACGACCATGATCGTCCGAACGTGCCTTGAATTTGGACAGTCAAGGACAAAGCATCTTAAGTGAGCAGAGCTTTAAAGAGTTAAGAAAAGGACTTACTTCGTACTTGTCTAACGATGGGTTTCATAGGTTCAAGCCAGATCTAAAGAGGATTTAAGAAAAGATATCAAATCCATTAAATTATTTCTCTATTTAATAAGAATGTTACAAAACGCAAATATTTATAATTAAGGGAGATATTTAAGGCAGGAGTATTTTGGCCCTGCTGCTCTTAGACACACGTCGAATCCTGATATAACAGAGTACAGCAGGGCACACTTTGGGAGGCGTAGAACAGGGTGCTGCTAACCACCCCAAGTCACAGAGGCTGCTGTCGCCGTGCACAGGACCGGCACCCAGAGCTCTGTGTGTGCGTGCTGGGGCTGGTATCTGTTAAGACCAAACAAGTATCGGCCACCTGCTGCCTCTGTAAACAGCGAGCTGATGAGGGGGTTACTGTGCGACAGGGGTAGAAAGGGGCTCTACAGTGCTGACATGCTTTTTGAACTAATGGGTTCATTTGGTTTCTTTAAAACAGTTCCACACTTTTTTGGTTCACCTATTAAGTGAAATGAGGCATAACCAGTTTAGTAAAGCAGTTTGCTCAAAATCCACTCTTGAAATGATCATCACACACAATATACTCTAGCTGCTTTTATAACTTATGAAGAAAGGATTTCCTTGGCACATGTGCTAGTAGATTGAAAAAAATTAGGGGGGATGCCAATTCAGGCTTAGGTAGAAGGCAAATATATTCCCTACAGCTGTAAATAAAATCCTTTAATAGCACAGCTTTGATAATAACAATGTGCCCTGCTTGTTGTCATGCCAGGAGGCCCTCAGAGGTCTCTGGCCCGGATGCACCATCACAAGACCTGCAGCCCACCTGCAGCCTGTCTCCAAAAGCAGATGAGAAGCACATACCCAGCAGGACTGGACGTTTTGAAACTCCAAGCCGAAGTAGTCACATTCTATCAGATTCAAGCGCTTCCACACCTGGGTCAGTAACACCTGGCCATAGCATTTAGGCTGTGGTGAGACAGACGAGAAGAAACACGAGGAGGGTTACACGACTTTAGACAACAAAGATTTACGAACACTGTGGCATAAAGTCCCTTCCCACACGCAAAACTTTATTATATTTAACTTCTTGCTTCGCTTTCCCTTCTGACGAGGCTCACAAACTGTCACAAAGCGAACAGATGAACCTGAGGCTCTGTGCTCAGAAACTGATGCATCAATAAAGCTAAAAACTCCTCAATTTTACTTTCTCAGAGTGTGTGGAGTCACATCTCTTTGTAACTTTAAGGTGGTAGGAACCATTTTTAGCCTCAGTAAACATTTTATCCAACAATTCTGATATTTACTAAAACGGTGAGTCTCATAGTTCATGTTTGCATGAGATCCCGTGGATAACTTAGCGTCTGGCAGCCTTTCCCACAGGGAGAAGAGCATGAACTAGGCAACAAACCAGGTGGGGAGCCGGCCCTCCACTCTGCTCACAAAGATAAATTCCAGTGGACTAAAGGCAGAGGAGAACGTTTCCATAATCTCGGGCTGAGTACAGTCTCCTAAGCGGAGCACAAAGGAAAGATTGATAGATCCGGCTAAGTAGAAATGAAACATTTCTGAATAGAAAGACACTGAACAAAGTTACAAACTAGAATCATGCTGAAAAAATTATAACTTATGTCTCATGCTGCTCTTATGAAGCAATACAAATGGCCTTAGGCATACAAAAAGGTACTCAAGGGACTTCCCTGGTGGTCCAGTGGGTAAGACTCCATGCTCCCAATGCGGAGGGCCCCGGGTTTGATTCCTGGTCAGGGAACTAGATCCCGCATGCATGCCGCAAGTAAGAGCACACAGGCCACAATTAAGAGTCCGCATACTGCAACTAAGAGTCTGCAATGCCACAAGTAAGACCCGGCGCAACCTAAATAAATATTTAAAAAACCAAAACCAAACAAACAAAAAACCCAAAAAGGTACTCAAGGCCTCTAGCAATAAAATAGATTAAAACAGTGAGGTGTCACTTTTCACCCATCAAAGAGGTTATGATGATGCCAAGAGTGAGTGGCGTGGCCATGGGAAGACAGCCACACAACTGCTGGGATAATGTGAAAACACTTTCCAATCTGAAGTGTATACATGTACCTTTGCCACAGCAACTCCGCTTCTACTTCCTCCTACAGATAGTCCAAAACAACTGCACAGAGCTAAACACCAAGGACAAACTAGCAAAGAACTGGCAAAATGAGTAATGGCGTATCCCTAATTAAAAATTACGCATCCCTGGGCTTCCCTGGTGGCGCAGTGGTTGAGAGTCCGCCTGCCGATGCAGGGGACACGGGTTCATGCCCCAGTCCGGGAGGATCCCACATGCCGCGGAGCGGCTGGGCCCGTGAGCCATGGCCGCTGAGCCTGCGCGTCCAGAGCCTGTGCTCCACAACGGGAGAGGCCGTAGCAGTGAGAGGCTCGCGTAAAAAAAAAAAAAAAGAAAAAAGAAAAAAAAATTACGCATCCCTTAAAAGGAACACAGAAATTCTGTATGGACCATCACAGAATAAAGTCAAGACTACAGTTCAGTCAGGAAGAAAGGTTTCCATTTCTACACAGTATGATTCCCTCTCATAGAACACACCCTCTGTTAACACGCAGCAGAAACAGGTCTGGAAGGCTGTGCGCTGTGTCTCTCAGGGACTGAACAGAGTGCGGGATGCAGACAAGGACTTCCACTTTCACCTCAATCATTAACTTGTCCTAGTCATTAACGTCTAAAGTTTTCATCAGTAGACATGTTATTTTCACAATTAAAATATAATACACACAAGTGGGTGGGGAGGGAAACGTCCACTATTTAACCATTAGATTTTCTCTCCGTGTGCTCAGGAAGTGCTAAGGCTCCTGAAATGAGAATTGTTATTTGAAGGGATAAAAACCCGCCCTTCGTCCTAACAGAAGCTCACAGAGAATCACAGAGCAGAACGAGCACCTCATCAGGACAGGAAGGTGAGCTACAGTGTGACCTCACGCTGAAAGTACAATTAGTAGGGAACACACACGCAGGTCTCGCTGGGTTCCGTTCCTATGACATCGTCCCTAAGAGCATCACGGTAGAGCTCCCTGTGACAGAGCGGGTGCTGGGGAGGCCATGCAGTGCCCTGCAGGCCCCGTGTCACTGCAGGGACCACCCACACTGGGGCCCCTACATGGTTAACCGGTCAGAAATCACAGATTCTGCTGCAACCCACCCCTGATCCCACGACCCCTGGGTGTCTGACCCCCCAGAAGTCCTCTCAAAGCCACGTCACCCCTCCCCCAGGATGGGCCAGGGCATCCCAGTCCCACTCCCAGCCCCCGCCCAGGGCTGGGTGCACACCTCCCTGTTGGGTCGGCCTAAGGGGGGGGGGGCGTGTCCTCTGAGAATCCGCTAAGGTGCCCTTGACCTCCGCCAGCTCCCCCAACGGTCACATCACGCGGCCCCCGGACAAGGCGCTGGTGGCACTGAGACTGGTTCTCACCCGCCCTGGGCTCCCCACCCCGTCTGCGGTCGGACGGGAGGCGGCACAGCCGTACCCGAGCTGCCCACCCCACTACCCGCCGGCCAGCCCTCCACCTGCAGTGAGCGCGGCCTGAGCTCTGCTCTGGGGCCGTCCCAGTGGGACTACGGGCACCGACCACGGCACGTGTGTGACACGAGGTTGCTCACGACACAATGCTGCCTGGCACCGCCCAACACCCAGGGCAGGGGCTGTAAATCGGGGCACAAAGCACATGAGCTACACATGTATTTGTATGTATATGCACATATGTACACACATTTATGGATACACGAAAACACATACATGTATAATGCACACAAGAATGGACACACATACATACACACATGCATGGATATACATACGGACACACACAAACACATGTGGGGATATGCGTATATAAATGCTCATGTATGATACACACATATACACAGACCTGAATGGACAACTATATATATTTAACTTCCTGAATTGGAATAATTTTTTTTTTTTTTTTTTTTTTTTTGGCGGTACGCGGGCCTCTCACTGTTGTGGCCTCTCCTGTTGCGGAGCACAGGCTCCGGACGCGCAGGCTCAGCGGCCATGGCTCACGGGCCCAGCCGCTCCGCGGCACGTGGGGTCTTCCCAGACCGGGGCATGAACCCGTGTCCCCTGCATCGGCAGGCGGACTCTCAACCACTGCGCCACCAGGGAAGTCCTGGAATAAATTTTACTAAACTAAAAAAGTTTTCCAAGTCAATTACTAGCCTATGTTCAGGTAACAAAAAGAATTTTGTATTCTCCGTGTGTCCTGAAATACATAATCAATTCCCACAAAAACCATCAGAAACAGGTGTCTTCACAAACCATGAAGGCACAGACATCTCCAAAGATACTTAAGTTAATCCATGGTGACACAGATGGCGGGGCAGGGTGGGGGGGAGGGAATCCCTTAAATTTGTTTTACGGAAAAGAACCCCCAAACTCCAAACAAATCCACATATACACACACATCCCCCAAGAGAAAGGTTCCTCCTTATGGATGTCAATGGAAACATCCCAGGTAAAGTATCAGCAAACATAACCTGGCAAAAACAGAAAGAGTGACACATCATAGCCAAGTAAACTTATTCAAGAGAGAGAGGATAATTCAACACACCATTAGGACATTTAAAACTAACCTGCAGAAAAATATCCTACGGTTATTCCCAGAATCTGAGACTCTGAGAAGGCATCTGATAAAATTCAATGCTTAATAAAATAGGAGGAGAGGCATGATTCCCTAACATCTAACAAGACGGGGTGGCTGCCCCCCAACCGCACATTCCATCACTAACTCTAAATGCCAGCACCAAAACAGGAAGAAACGGGAGGCAAAAAAACTGGAAAAGAGGAAGCAAGGTGTCATTACTTGCAGGTATGATACTTTACTTTGAAAATCCAAGAACATCAACTAGAAAACTATTATAAAAAAGATGAAATTCAGTTAGGTGATGGGGGAAAATTATTATACGGATATCACCAGGCTTTTCAGGATAGAGAGGAAGAAACAACCACATTTGTAACAGCAATGAAAAAACTGAAATATCTTGGAATAAACTTACAATAAAAGAAAGCCTTACGGCGAAAATTTTAAAAACACTGTCAGGGGACTGAACAAGGGGCAGAAGTGGATGGCGCCACCTTCTTGGAGAGAAACACCCGCGGAGACGTCAAGCTTCCTTCCATTAATCCACAGACTCCATGCGGCCCTAATAAAAGTACCAAGAGGATTCTTTAAGGAAACTGAGAGGCTGATTCTACAGTTGATGTATTTTTTAAAATGCAAGAATGGTCAGGAAAATTCTGAAAAAGAAAATTAAGAGAGGATGAGCCTTAGCGGATAGTCAAACTGTTGAAAAGCTACAGTAATTAAAACATTTGGTACTGGTGCATATGTCCACACAGACAAATCAACGGAAGAGAGGAGGAGGTGAAGAAATATACCCAAATACATAGAACAGTGCAGTGTCTGGTAACAGCGACATTTCAAATCAATCAGTGAGAGGAAAACAGATTATTCAATAAATATTATTAGGTATCCATTCGGAAAAAACTAGGCTGTACCCTTATCTGGCATAATAATTTCAAGATGAATAAAATATCTAAACACAAAAATATCTACCCATCAAAGTACTGCAGTGAGATAAATCTGTTTTGTACTCCACATGGGCAGAGGCTGTTTTCATTTCACTCCAGCAGCTAAAAGCCATCACAGGAGGCTTGAGAAACTGAACACAAAAATAAAAATCTCTGCACAGAAAGAAGCACTGTAAAGTCAAAAGACTTCTTCAAAGATAAACAGGGGAAAAACTTTGATAGCTCATATCACAAAGGGTTAATTTCTTTAAAACATGCCGAACTGCAACGGAATAGAAAAATGGGCAAAAGGACAGGCTGTTCACAAAAACAGAAACCTAAATGACGTTTAAACACATAATTAGAGATATGCAAACCAAAACTACACTG